TGTCACGTCCCAGCTCTGTGTTTGGGGGTGTCACAGCCCAGCTCTGTGTTTGGGGGTGTCACATCCCAGCTCTGTGTTTGGGGGTGTCACAGCCCAGCTCTGTGTTTGGGGGTGTCACAGCCCAGCTCTGTGTTTGGGGGTGTCACAGCCCAGCTCTGTGTTTGGGGGTGTCACAGCCCAGCTCTGTGTTTGGGGGTGTCACAGCCCAGCTCTGTGTTTGGGGGTGTCACAGCCCAGCTCTGGTCTCGAAGATCCTTCACTACTTGTGGGTCATCTCATCCTAGGGAAGAGGATAATTCTTCCAGGCTTAGGAGGGAGGCCTGGAACAACTCCATGGGAGAAGGCTGAAGCCTCCTTGTCTCCAGTGTCTTGTGAACATTTCTCCTGTTTCTGTAACTGGTATTTAGTGTCATCTGAGCTAGAAAAAAATAATCTGCTCTGATGCTTAATCACAATGTTGCTGCTCAAGAACAGGGAAGGTGTCACTGCCCAGGATGTCAGGAGGCTTTTTGTGCCTTTTTTGATTTCCCTGAGGTGGGACACAGGTGCAGGGGCCTTCACAGGGCCTGCATGGACAGCTTTAGGAAACACATGGGGGCCTCCTGTGCACCCCTGATGGGAGTCTCCATGAGTGTGGTCCTTGCAGGTTGGGTGGGGGAGTCGAGAGGATGGCAGCAGGTGGCACACTCTGCAGGTGGTACTAGTGCAGGATGGGGGCAATGGGCAAGTTTGAAAGCCATATGCCTAAATACAAGGTCCTGGTTGTGGTTGTAATGAACAATTGCACTTTGTTCTTTAGGGGATAGTTTTATAAATTGACCTGAGTTACACTGACAAGGGGAGAGGAAAAAGGACACTTTAAGTATGGAAGGTTTGCAAACTTGCATCTCCATGGCATCAGTTTTGATGTTTTGATCTGTCCCAAAAGCTGAGGATAAATTTCCAAGGATTTTTTTAATCTCATCTTCTCAAATTTAACCACAGCTCATAAAATACATCTCAGAGCGCTCAGAGGTCTTGTAGACCCTCTAAACTTTTCTGTCAATGGAACAGAAGGGTTTAAAAACTTAACGTGTTTGTGTCAGTTATTGACAAGAAATACATCCAGTGTATGATGGAGTACCTTGACCTCCCCTAGGACTGTGTTACAGGGGGCTCAAATATCTGACAGAAATGTGTTAACCTGTGTGTCATAAAACATATTCTTGGCAAAAAATCTCCTTAAAATTGAGTCTCACAAAGCTAAAGAGAGACCCCAGTGGACAGGAAACACCGTTTTGTTCAGCAGGAGCCCAGATAGATGCCCTGTGCTGTGTCACAGACTGCTGGGCTCAAGGTGGCCATGGGGTTCTTAGTGTTAATTAATGAAAATGAGCTGAGCTGTTGGGAGCAGGGGAAGCTGGGAGGCCTGGGGAAGCTTGTCTGATTTGTATGGATTTTTTTGTGTTGTAATTTTGGGTTTCTCTGAGGTGGTGCAAGAGTGGTAGGCAATCAGGACAGCTGGAAAAGGGCTTGTTTCTGTTTGCATTGCAGAAAGTCTGTTAGGGCACTAGTGTTCCCAAAGAGATTATGAAGTACTCTAATCTTATTTCTCAGCTACTGTGTAACCATGGGGAAAAGTTTTCTGTCTGATCAGATGATGTCTTGTACAGCCCCTAGTGATGGAAGTCCTCAGAAGAGCAAATTCTGTCTTACAAAAGTAGACCCAGCTTAAAAACAAGCAAACAAAAACAGCATCAAATAACCAAACCACCACAAAATCTCTTTATTCCTGCAAGAGAAGTTAGTCCTGATGCAAATGGGAGGTCATGCATGTAGTGTGCTGTCCTATCAAGGAGTATCTTCTGGTTTTGGTAATTCTTTCTGGACAAAACCTGCTCCTTTCTACAGTCTTGCAGCTCTAAAGGTAAATAAGTGCCCAGAGAAAGGCACCAGTGAGTTGCCTGATAGGACAAAAGGCACCTTTGAGAGTCCTGTGTGGAAGTCAGGGGTTTGTTTAATGTCTGTCTTTTGGGGCTGTTGTAAAGCAATAAATAGGGCAGGTGACTGGAAGAGAACAGTTGGGTAACAGAGATAGGCACGGGTGGCTCCCCTTCTTTTTTTCTTTGAACTTCTAATGCATCTTCAGAGCAAGAGGACCAGGGAAGATGTCATCTGATGGCCTTCACATTTCTGCATCTTGGACTTGCTTTTGCCTGAAGAGATCCCCTTGATCCTGTAAGCTCTGCAATGTGCCTTGTTTTTGCTTCAGTGGGAAATGTTGAGCAGGGCAGGGTGCTTGGTGCCATTTCTTCTCCTAAGTATGTTCTCTAGGACTCTTTTCCTTGTTTTTAGTCTCTTTCAGGTTCTACTCAGAACTATTTAATTAGAGGTGCCCAAGAGGCATGTTATTCTTCAGACAAGAAGGAAGTTACCTTAGGCATCCACTGAACTTTTGAGGTGCTTGTGATGGTAGAACAGACATTTTGATGGAAGTCAGTAAGCTGTCACCTTGGCTGCTGGGTCTCACTGACCAAGATACTTAATATTGTACTCCAAAATGTCACTGTACTGGTCTTGTCTAGTCTGCTGTGCTACTTGCCTTGCAGCCTTAGCTTTTACAATCTTCCTCACTCTTTTTCCATGTCCAGGAGATGTTCAGGAGGAGTTGCTACCTGCAGTTAGGAGAAGAAAACTGACTTGACCTAAATAATGAATGGAATCTCAGGCGAAGCCATTTCTGTATCTCATGGTTTTTATGAATTTTAGGTAGTGATCCTGAGTTCTTACATCTCACTCTCAGTTGAAACACTGTTGTTTCAGTGGTGTGTGTTTTAAAACTGCTCTTCCTTGTATGTGCAGAGCTGCTTTATGCCACTTCTGTGTGCCTGCTTACAGAGCACACTTGGAGGACAGGCTGTGGTTCCTCTAACAACCTTTTCTCTTGGAGAAACCAATAAAAATGTCCTGACCTCTATCTCTGCCAAACTGAATGGTTCCTCTTTCCCTTTCTCTTCAAAGTGGCAGTGTTTCTGAGAGCATAGGGCTCTGGGGAATGCATGTGCATCCACTGTTCCTTTCTGAAGGGAAAAAAACCCTCACCAAACCAAACAAGAGCACTGGAGGTTTTAACCTTTCAGTCAGGGCTAGGACTGAGCTGAGCAGTGTCTGATCAGAAACACTCCCCACGGACTGCCAGAGCTGCTGCTGCTGCTGAACCAGAGTGACTTGTGAAAGTATTTAAAGCTTGGACTTGGTCTTTGTTCTCTTTGTAGATGCTCCTCTACACATAGCCCTAAGGAGTACCCCATATAGAGATGAAAAAATAGAAAAGAGAAGAACTTCAGCTGCTGTAAGTGCATTAAATAGTCACCGGCACTCTCTTAGAGACCAAAGCAGGAGCCACATAGCGAGAGCGCTGCGGAGGCCTCGGGACAGAGTCGGACATGGTACGGCTGCGGGCTCACCTCACATTACACTGGGAAAAGGCTGGGAAAACTGGCAGGCTTTGTAAGGAACTGGTAATGCTGATGGCATTGTTCTGCATATCTGCTTCTAGAGACAGTAATTTTGTATAAATGTACAGTATGAAACGTAAGCAGTGTCTTCTCACCTGGTAACTTTTTTGCTGCCTTCGCTGGGGCTTGTTCTTCCCAGTCAGTGGGTGGTATCTTTAAGATGTAAAAAGTACTTGAAGTATTGAAGGGCATGATTTTTACTGTTTGATACGTGGGTCTTAATGCTATTGAACTCTTGACTGTCCAAAGCATTAAATATTTTAAGTAATCTTGTACTTATTGAGATACCTGAACTTAAAAGGAGAGGATTGGGTGGGCATGAGGCACAATGACCTGGAGGGTTTTATTTTGTTGAGGGTGTTCCTTTTAATAGCATTTGACTACTTCTGGTAGTCAACACTTGCTACTTAAACATCTCTGAAGAACTTCAGGACTTGGACTGTTCAGTGGTAGAGTCAAGGCTGTTCATACTGAAACCTGCTCTAGAGGAGGTGGTGACAGCCATACGGTGGATGGGGGAATGTGTGTGCACACACATGGGCAGAAACAATGCATGTGGTAAAATACTTTATATAAATAATATATAAACAATTTCCAGCGTACCTCTAGATTGACTGCATTGCCACTTCCCTTCAGATCCACGGTGAGAATGTGAGTCACAGTGAGGAGGAAAACACAAGCTCTGAGCTTAGGCTGTTCTGTGTATAGCAGATGATCTGTGTCCTGGAGATCTTCACTTCAGCTATCTGGCTGTGTGTTGTTCTGTTGAGAGCAGTGAGGCAGTGCCTGGCACCTCTGTCTGTGCTTGGGCATCCTTTGGTGCCCTCCCTTGTAGGAAGGCCTGAATGAGATCCATCAGTCTCCTCAGTGCTCTGACTCAGTGGGACATGTCTTACTTGGGAGTGTGGTGTTTAAACTTTCACATGGGGGAGGATGATGAATACTTGTCCTGGTCCTCATGAACCTCTGCCTTTCAAGCCAGTTGAAGTCAGGTTTTTGCAAAAAAACCCAAAACCCCAAAGCTTTTAGAAATGTAGTTATTTTGTGCTTCATTTTTATGATTATATAAGGCAGTTTATCATTCTGGTTGACCACACAAATCTGAGGATGCTCCTAACCTAGACAATGTCCCTGTCTGGTCTTGGGTCAGTCAGAATTCATTGCACTTTAGAGTGCTTGTGAGAAACAGTGGGAGACAAGAGGATTCTTCAGTACATGGTTTTTGGAAGACCCTGGTATAACACTTCAGTACTTGTTCTTTGCAGATTTTTTTTTCAGGGAGCATGCATTAACTGTGGTGTGCAGTCAGAAGATAGCTGTACGCAGAAATTTGCAAATACTTAGATTTTTTCAGATTTTAAGAAATACAGGTTAGCTCAAGGGGTAGAAGTGTGGAACGAAGTGACAATTTCTGTCGTGTTTATGATGGATACATTAATAGTGACTGAGACACTCTGGGCTCTTGGGTATCTTAGACCAAATCCAGCAATCTGACCCTGTGAATTTCAGTTCCCAAACAAAAGGAAGCAGAATTTTCCTGCTTCTGTTGACCTCAGTTACTCTCTTTGGCCTTCTGGAAGAATAGAATGGCAGAACTTCCTTGCATCCCTGTGAGCAGGAGAAGGGAATGGTACCTGGAGGATCTTGAGCATCAGAAGAACAGGAGATGCGAGGACAGAGGAAAGTAAGAAGGAAGTTGTGCTGACACTTGAATAACCCCCTCAACACCCGTGGAGGGGGCATGAAGGTGGTTTTTGTGCTGCCAGTCCTGCTGCCTTTGCAGGACAGGTGACTGGGGTGCCCATCTGCTGTGGGGCAGGAGCTGTTGTGGCCCTGAGCCATCGCTGACCACGTGCCAGGAGAGGCACAACAAGGCAAAGCAGCAGGAGATGTTCAAGACCTAAGAGGATGGGGAGATGTGGGGCTAAAGACTCTGCTGAGCATGTCTCCTGCATCACAGTTGATAAACATGACTGAGATGTGCAGTTTCTCAGCTGTTTGTGCCACAAACACGCAGTTTGGACAGTTTGGTGTTGGTGTGTATGAGAGAGGGTGATACAATACACAGGTACTGCTGGTTTGCTTCATAAGTGGTTACAGAGCAGCTGAAATGGTTTGTGCAGGAGACTTCTTACAGTATAAAGTGTCTTTAGGTGCTTATTCTGCTATCCATCACCAGAAGCTGAAATAGGTTTGTGAATAGGAGGGTGAGTGGCTCAGCCAAGCTCTCTGAGAGCTGTTCTGAGGTGCCAGGCATCCCTCCATGGCAGGTGTTGATGGCACCAGGGCTGAGTCAGGATAATTTACTGAAGGAGCAGTGTAAGTATCTGGAAAATTCTGCTGCAGAGACCTCAGTGTGAAGGCCAGAAGTTGTGGACAGACCCTGGGATGTGGAATGCAAGGCTTTGTGCCCAGGCCCAGCACGGCTCTGCTGCTGGAATGGGCTCTGGTACCGCCCTTTGAGGGTGGATGGGATTGGCACTCAAACATCGTGCTGTGGGTTCAATCCCACAGAAGAGCTTGGAGAACAGATGTTGAGAGAGTAGGAGTTAAAGCCAGTGAACCAGTTGTTATTCAGTTTTCAGGGAAAATATTTGAGGAACTGAAGTTTGGTGGGTTGGGGTTTTGTTCTTGTCAGGCTTCTGTTACAATGCTCCTGAAATGCTCATAATCATTTAGAAGGTGGATATAACAAATCCTTCAGTCTCTCTTCTTTAAAACTTCTGAAGCATGTAAATAATAAATGAGCACTTCTGTACAGTTGATTTCTCCCACAGGAGATTCTAATTTTTTTAATGGGACAATCAAATTAGAACTTTAAAATACACCGTCCCAGTTGAGAGCTGGAAATTCTTACAAATAAATTTTCTTGGGTTTTTTTGCAGTGAAATGGCCTTGATTGTCCAAAGAAATTGTGGAGGTCTTAAGGAAATAATAGAATAAATGTATATATATTTAAAAATTAATTTGCAATATTGTCTAATTTTAGGTGTTAAAGAACATGAGAAGAACAAAGAAAGAAAATCCAAAGACTATGGAAGATCCAAGTCAAAGAAAAAGAAAAAAAAGAAAAAGAGATCTAAGCCTGGTAAAGCTCACTTTCCTTCTATAGATGAAAATGGCTCTATTATTTTGTTTTGTTACTCAGTTTAGCTCACTTCACAGCAGGCATTGCAGTTCAGCCTGCTTCCTTCACTGATCTGTTAGCTCTGATTTTATTAACCGGGTAATTTTAAATTGTGGTTGGCAAGATCTGTCCACTTGGAAATCTGTGGGATTAAGGAATGTGTGTAGCCAGCATGTCAAGAGGGGACGGGCTCGGTGAATTGATGTACCTGCTGTGGGCAATGCATGCTGCTGTTTCTCCTGTCAGCTTTTCTTGACCCTGGATTTCTGCTGTTAATACTTTTTATATTTTTACAGGGTACTCTGGTGTTGGAGAAAACACAGATGTCTCACAGGAGCTTTCTCCTGAAAAATCAGTGGTCACAAAATCTCTTTCTTCCATTAAATCATCTGCCCACCCGAGCACACCGCTGCACTGTGCTGACTCTGGACAGCACAGGGGGAAATCAAAAGCAAATGGTGAGATGCCTCTGCCCTCTGTCTTGCTGGTTCTGTCTTTCATTGCTAGTAAATATGTGAGCTGCACTAACATACTTGAGAACCAGTTCTTATGGTGTGAATTTGGCTGTTCTTACACAGCACTGTGTGTGTTTCCCTGTCCCTGCCTGACCAAGCTGGACCCATTTGGTTTGCCAGATGATGTTGCTGCTTTTTGCTTTGACTTTACCTTCAGATACACGTTGAGACTGTTGCCCTTACTTTAGTAATCAGATTAATTTTGCATTTTTTCCAGCACCTTATGAACTCTAAAATAAGCATTTTCAAACTTCAAAATTACACTTTTCATATTTCTAAAGGTTTCTCCAAAGTGAGAGCTCCTGGAGAATTAAAAACAGGTGCTTTGCAAATTTGCTCCAGATTGTGCTGTGTTTGAGAGACCACTGGGCGTGGTGAGGTGTAGTTGTGCAGATATTCTATGATACATGGTTATGATGACTCTGAGCTTCATAATGAGGAGCTCTTGGGGAGCTGTTTGTTGAGCAGGTGTTAATTGGTGTCTTCCCAGTACTTCATCCACAGAACTCACAAAAATGTGGCTGCTGTGTTCCAGCTTTCATAGCTCCTGATATCTTGGTCCAAATTACTGTTTACTGTCACAAGCTGGTACAGTAAAAAAGACAGCAAACATTTTGTTCTCTCTCTTGTTCTTAAAGCTGACAAATGAGAGGAAATAGGAAGTGTATGACAGCTTGATTATATACAAGAGTCTTAGTCTTATTGTACAGCTGCCCTGTGGAGGACTCTTTGATTATTTTTTTGGACACAACTCTCATTGTTTGGCATTAGGCAAAACTAAAAATTACCTTCAGTTAATTCCACTACATAAGGAACACAGGAAACATTAAAACTACTGCAGTACTTTGGTGGTCATGTCTCGAAAGACGTTCTGCCAGTGTGAGCAGTTGTGTGTTCAGAGTAAATCAACCACAGAACGCACAGTAACTTGGCCATCAGTTCCTCAGACCTCTTCTGGTCAATCGATAGACATTGAAAGTGGGGGAAAATATTGGAAATGGTTTTATTTCGTCCTTATCACAATTGCTTGACTGCTTTTTGCATCTGCAGAAGTTGCACCACCAATAAAAGCAGTGCCCAGATAAACCAAGTGTGGTGTCAGTGAAAGTGCAGGTGGTGTGTGAGGTGGAAGTGCCCGTGCCTGACCTGCCACTTCCAGAGCACTCAGCACCCCCAGCTCAGAGGGGGAATGAAACTCCTAAACTATTGCATTGGGTTCTCAGCCCCTTTAACTTGAGAACAGCTGTTTCTCCCAAAGGTGTGGTTTGTGTCACACACTGGTGGTTCTGGTTTTGCATTCTGTGAGCTAAGCGAGGAAAATAGTTTGACCCACTGTAGGTGAGACCCCACAATCTCAAGAGTGACTGAAGTTTTCATCTTCCACTCCCCTCCAACTCCTTAGATTATTTCCAGATAATTAAAATCCTTGTCTTCTTCCTCCAACTCTCCCATTCTATCCCCAAGAAAGATGCAGGCATTAATCAACGTTAATTGAGGTAAGAATCTCAGTTTAACCTGCTGTTTCAGTAAAGATTTTCTTGCCAGCTTTATTCAATCCAGGGATGCATCAGTGTTTTGGCTAAGTAAGTGAATGTGTTCTGGAAGAACACCTTGGGCTGTGCACTGCTCATGGGTTGATCAATGGATCCTAAGCAGGAGACTAAATGAAAATAATAATTCCTGAAGCAGGATTAAATTCTGTGTTGGACTCAGTGTTTCTGTCACGAAGACATCACTTTGGGAGATTGAATGGCTCATAAACCAGAACCCTCTTGCCTCTTTTTGGGAGCTCTAATTCTGCACAAATTGCAGCAATTAATATTAATCCTATTTGAATGTACAAGTCTGGTTTTATTTATTATACTTACTTGTCTAAAGAGAGTTTGTGCCTTTTTCTTTGAGATTGTGTATGCTGAGTTTACCATTTTAATGACAGAAGCTGTTAAATTGGACTGTTTTTAAGGAGCTATTAATGAAAATATGAAACTTCATGATGTAGTAACCTTCAATAAACTTGAATTCTGATGTTCCTTAAATGACACTGTGAACTCATATTTTAGGAATGTTTGTCTGCATACTTGGGATGAGATCTTGAGGGTCGTTTGACCTTTTTTGTAATCACTTAGGATTTTATATAAATCCTTCTTGTACAGAGGATGACACCCTGAGTGAGTCATCTATGGACAGCTTGCTTTGGAGTGACGATGACTGCAGTCAGGACGTTGATGTAACCACCAACCCTGATGAAGAAGTTGAAGAAAGTGATTTTGAGATCGTTCGCTGTGTTTGTGAAGTAAAAGAAGAAAATGATTTCATGATCCAGGTATGAATTGGAGGGTAAATGCTCGTGTCAGTGGATACAGTGGAAAGTGTCAGTGGAAAAGCATTTGCTGTTTGTTTTTTTTTTTTTTTCCTTCCTGGCAAGAAGCTTGACTTGAACATACAATTCTCCAGATAGGCTGAACAAACAATCAAAAAAAGGTAATTACTGGAGTGTTTTGCTGTGAAGCAGAGCTGCACTTGTCCATTCTGCAGTAGCGTGCACATTCTTGGTTCCTAATCTTCATGAGGCCATCTGTCCATTCCACATATAGGTGCTATTTTTAAACCAGATTCCCAGAAAACTCAGAGCAGCTTCTATTACATCTTCTGCTTAAAACTGTTGGCAAAAACCTCTTTGGAAGTGTTTACTCTGACTTTTTGTTTACTTTTCACTGTTTACTTTTTGAGATGTTTGTAAACTGCCAGGCAATAATTCCATACACAGCTGCTTTGAACCATCACACCCAGTTCCTATCAGTTTCAAACAGTGAAGTCAAACAGATCAGTTCAACTTCTTTTTTTTTTCTCTAATTAATTTTGCCATTGCTTTTTACATGAGCTGGTCCACATTGCTAATTCCCCATAAATTTCAGAGTAAGCATATGCAGGAGCTTAAATGTGTGATGCTCTTGAACCAAGACGGCAAGCTTTTGTAGCTGCCCTCTAGAAGAAGTGAGTTTTCTGAAGTAGTTAGTTGATTTTGGGTGGTTAGGTTTGGTTTGGTTTTTTTAAGAGGCTCCCACCCTTCCTATCCAGATGACCTTTTTCTTGTTGTGGGCCTCTAGTTCAGAGTGTCAGTAGTGTAACCTTTAAGGTAATTACTACATTCTCCTGAGGTTGATTTGTGATAGGATATGGCATGACACTAACTCCAGAAATATTCTTCTGGCACGTGAACCTCGCTCCTCATCTGCAGCTTTTGAAGTCACTTTCCCAGGCATTGTTGCTAATTTTTGCGAGGCTTGAAATCCACTTTAGAGGAGCCCTTTCTGGTGCAGTTCCTGGCCTGTTCCTGTGAACTGCATTCCTCTTTGGCAGTTTGGAACTAGGAGGCAAGACAGAAGCTGAGCTAAAGTTGCTTCACAACCACTGCTGATGTTTGGGTGGCCTTTGCTTGAATGGAGGCAGAAACCTGTTCAGGTGTAGAGGGGGAGCACTGTTTAAACTGCAGTGGGAGGAATTCTTGACTCTGCAAGAGAACAGTAGAAACACCTTTTTTGCCCTGAACATCAGTGGCCTAATTTTAAAAATTTTTAATAGTCCTGGCTAATGCAGCTCAGTTTGTGTGTCCTTAACTGCCCAGTCACATAAGGTGTTACACTCCACTGTTTTTACGGAGGTTTGCTGTGGAAGGTGTGACATTCCTAGTGGTGAATTCCCTTGGATGCACCCTTTGGATCCTGACATGCAGGGCAAAAGGTTCCTTGTGCATGGGGAGGGGAGGGTGCAGTGATGGGCAGATTGAAGTAAATGCCATCTGAGTGTACAGGAGAGCAGGAGTCTGACAGTGGGGAATAAAGGGGTGGATGTTTTCTGAGATAATGACTTTAAAACACAGATAGTCTGGATTATAATTTCCTGGCAAAACTTAGTTCAACACTAGGTCAGGGTTGCAGAGTGTAGGGAGCTGTCAGCTGGGACAGCCTGTGGAACATTCTGTGGGCTGCTTCTAAGATTGGCTTTCTAGGTTGAACAGCTTAGGGGTTTTATTGAGCATCTTGCAAAGTTTAAAACACTTCATCTGTTTTATGAAAGAATTGGCTGGGAGAGCAGGTTATTCTCTCTGGAAAAGACATGCAGGTAGGCAGCGTGGTGAGTGCCTGCATTCACTGTGGGGATTGAGGCAATAGGAATTGGGAAGCAAGGAGCTGGTCACCACATTTTGTGGGGCTGAGATGGGGGTGTAGGGTTAGGTGGTTTGCTTAAGGAACCAAATGCTGTGCTCCCCACAGCTCCCTGTCAGCCTCTATTTTTGGGGAAATGTTTTGAACAGTCTGGTTGTCTGTTGGTGTAGAAATGCCTGAGTTTACTCCTTAGGAACAGAGCATTAATACAAAGCAAAGCTGCTGTGTTATACAACTGTGGAATTATCACAAAGGGAACCTGTTTTCAGCTTTTTAGAGGTGGAGTGCCAAGACTGACACTTCCCTTTGGCTTTATAGAGCGAGAATCTGGGGTAGTTGTCATAACTTTATAATTAGGAAATATTTCTTCCCTATTTTTCACTCACACTTCAACCTGACACTTGGAAAATGAATTCAGAGCTGTCTGCCCTAAGGAACTTGGATTTAGATTGGTCCTTTCTTTCTGAAGAAGGGTCATTTTGCTCAGGGTATGGGGTTTCAGAAGAATAATGTCCTTCTTTGCTCTTTTGTCCCTTGGGGTGTTTATTTTTCCTCTGCTTTATTTTTCTGACTGATATTTGCTGGCACTTGCTTGAGCAGGCTGTGTGCCCATCTGCCTGATTTGGGGTCAGAGTTAGGAGCCAGGACAGCTTCTTCATGCATCCCAGGATAAGTGGATCCCCTCCTCTCTTCCAAGAGGAAGAATGGAGAGGCTTTTTGTCTTTAAACTGTGCTCATTTCCATAAATGTGACAAATTTAGAAGTAATGGGGGAAAATGTTAATTTTAAACACAAGCAGCACCTTTATTTTTCCTGAAAGATTAGGGACAATTAAGGTTTAATGAAACTCACACACATTTAAAATGGAGGTGGGTTCCAATTAGGTATTTAAACTAATAACACCCCCCCAAATTCAGCCTGGAGGTTTTATATAAACTTCCTTTATCCTAAACTTGCCTTAATTAATTATCTTGAGCAATCTGTGCATTAAGAATCTCACTTATTGCACCAGGGTGCAGAAATCTGAGTTTGCATTTGTGGAAGTTCCTGCTCAGGTAGTAGAAGTTAAATCAAGAAAAAGTATAAACCCCCCAACATGTTGTTGGTCAGTGCTGCTGTAACTCTGGGGGGAGGTTACTGATTCCATCTCTGGAGCCTGTGGAAAGCACTGCCCCGTGTTCCCTCTGGAGGCACAGGACTCCCTCTTCATGGAATGAGCCAAAACAGTCCAGACAGATTGTCGTTGTCCCTTCTCTTTGGTTTTTATACCCAAACATTGGTGTGTTTGTGTGTGTGGCCTCGAGTGATGGATGTAAACAGACTTGGGACGTTCTTGTTCTGGGATGTGAAAATCTGCTTTAAACACATGTCCTTTGTGTTCAGTTATTTCTGTTGTTACTTGAATTTCGATTGGAATATTTTGGCACAGCAGTGCATGTTTTTTTTCTCTTCCACATTTCCTCCTTGGTGTGCTTTGAATGTCCCTGCTACTGCCTGGGCAGGGGTGGCTTCCCTGCAGGGTGTGTGCCAGCAGGGGCCTGGCCAGCCATGCTGTGCAGGAGAACCTGCAGGTAAATGGAGCCACCTGTGCCCTGCTGGGGTACAGACTAAAAATATCAGTTGAGTAACATAGAAAAAAAAAAGCTGGGATGCTTCGCTGGAGTTCTGGGCAAAATTGCCTGGAAAATCACTGAGCTCAGCCCTGTGCAGTGATTTATAGGATGAAGGTGTAACTAGAACCAGTCTGCTTTTCTTAATGCATTTTCTTTGTTTTAGAACACCTTTTTCTGGCTCTAATAATCACCTTTGTGAAAGAAGAATGGTGTCTCTGCCTTTTTTGAAAACATCTCCTTATTGCTTTAGGACTGTTTACCCATTTTGTTTGGCAAAACATTGTTGGTCCCATCCTTCAGAAAGCTGTTTCTCTACAACCTTTGAAATTCTCTTCTCCCAGGGCTTCTGTTTCCTCCACCCTTTGGCCTCTCATTTAATGTAGTGAAGTATTCACAGCCTGGCTGTTTGTGTCCCTCCTAGCTGGAGGAGTGGTAGCAGATAAGTGGTAAAGATAAAAGTGGTGTTGAACACAGATGGCACGTTCAGCAAGTTGGCATCTTTGTAGGTCAGTGAGGAGCAGCAGCTGGGATTGCTTGTGGGGTGTGTTTTTAGCTCGTACTGAAATCCTGCACCAACATTAATGAGACCCTTTTGGCTCCTGCTCTAAGAAATAAATCTCACTGCTTGGGAAAACAGTAATTCTGAACTGACATCACAGTTTGAAATCAAAATTGACTCAATATGTGGGGTTTTGTGCCTCGTTTCAGTGCTCTGTGGGCTGCAGTCGAATTTTGTCTCCTGTCAAAATATGGGAGGGGGGAGAAAATGGCAGAAACAGAACATGTGCATGTAGAGGTTTTTGCTGCTCTAGAACTGTTTAAGAGCAGTGATTGTATTTTCAATAGTGTAACTGTGCTAAAAAAATCCAAACTGTATTCAGCCTTTGCCAATGTGATGCCCCCCCTTGGCAGGAGGGCAGAAGCTTTTGAAGCTGGTACAGCTGGATCTGCACTGCAGGTCTGTGCTGGTAGAGATCAAATGTTAGAGCTACAAGAATCAGCAAAGCATAATATTGGCTAGTCCTGTGTGACATAAATGTCTCTGGGATTTAGTAACCGAATGGGGTTTACTGTTTGAGGGGGAAGCTTTTTAATTCAGAAGAATGGATTTGTTTTGCTGAAAAAAGCTTGACTGCACACTGATTGCTGTCCTGGTTATGTGCACATGCATCCTGGGAAAGATTTTCATCTCCAAAGGGAACGTTTTTGTACCTTTCAGAATATCTACTTTCAGTTTTTAATTGTCATTCTCCAGAAATACACATACAAATATGAGGGAAAGGCTCAGGTTTTATTGTAGTCTGATTTTTTTAATGGGTTTGCTTGGAAGGTGGGGGGGTGTGGGTCTTAATCCATCTTTTTGTCTTAAAATATGTAGATGCTGTGTCTCTTCATTGATGTGTTGAGCTCCTTGGTTTGTGTTAATGTGCCCCTCTTGCCTCTGAGCAGTGTGAAGAGTGTCTGTGCTGGCAGCACGGGGTCTGCATGGGGCTGCTGGAAGATAATGTCCCTGAGAAGTACACCTGCTATATCTGCCAGGATCCCCCAGGTACAGAAATTCAAGGTTGCAGAGCCTTCTTACATATGTTCTACACTTGCTAGTTTATATATATATAGCTCAAAGATTGAACTACTTTTTTGCCCTTAGCTGTGTCTGTCACTGTAAGTAATTTTCAGTGACAGATACAGAAAGTTTAATTTCTGTCGATGTCCACGAGTCAATATTGTGGAATTACAGCTGGGCAGGGATGGCAGTGAATGTTTTCACTGGGATGACCATCTGCCACACTGTGCTGTGATAAGGACTGTGCTGTCTGGCTGTGGGAAACGATGGATTTTTAAATGTCTTGGTCCACAGCAGTAAAATTACACTCAATTGAATATTTTCTGACTTCCTACTCTGTGGATTACAAGCCTTGATGAAAACGGAAACAGATGAAGTTCTTGCTTGAGTCTGTGTTTATAAAGGGCAAGAAAATGGATCTCTGGTGGCCTGATGAAAAGATCTTTTTGGTTTATGTGCATAGTTGGATTGTGATCTCAGATTGTTTTGGCTGTTGGGAGCTGCCAGCTCTTTTGTACCTTAAACTCATGGATTTGTGGAGTTGGTTTACTGATGTTTGTACTCACAGCAAGAAAGGCATGCCACAGTTCAATTTTAAACTATTTCACTACACAGATAACAGGGGTTTTTTTACAATATCTTGCTTCTAGGATTTTACCCCTCTGTTTTCAAGATATTTTGCTTTATGTCAACTGAAGTTAGTTTGAAATGTAACTAAAATGCACATGCAAACTGTCATCACACTTGGACATCAGAATGCTCTTGTGCAAAAGCTGATTACAACTTAATTTGCTTAATTAATCATTAACTATTCCTTTGAAGGTTCTACAGTTTACATTGGGGGAGCCTAATTTCTACCTCTGTTTTCAACAAGGAAAACCTCCAACTTTTTGACTGATTTCAGTGACTCTGCTTGTGGCTGGAAATGAGCTCACAGGCTCTGTGGATCTACAAAGAAGTGGCTTTTAACACTGGGCAGGGCCATTCAGCAAAATCTTATTTAGGAGCTTTCCCCAGTTTAAACTGCTGAGATGTGTTACAGCACCATTTATTCTTCTGGAAATAAAAGCAAATTTGGTGTAATTTTGTCTAAAATCTGCACAAACTGCCATTCTACTCAATTCTCTTTGAGTCAAGTGGGATTTTTAAGACATTTGTTAACATTTGCCCCTGCTTAATCATGATCAAGATGCTTATGATGTGACTGTTTGTGTGTTCAGCAAGAATCTACAGTTCTACCCTTTCCTGATAATGCCGGTTTTTTGGCAGCTTAAGTTACTTGTACTGATGCATTTATCACATTTAACATTTCATTTCAGTTGTTGTTGATACTCCAGCCTCTCAAGCTAGAAATACTATCATTAATATCCTGACTTAGGCAAGTTTTCCATCAGAACCTCGTCATTGGTTCCTTTAAAATGTACTTTTGAATGCCTGTACTGATAGATGTGTGATGTTTAAAATAAGACCACTGGGAAAGGAAGTTCATTGCCACCTTCTGTGTTTTTCTGTCTGCAGAGACCTGCATTCACACTGTAGTTTGTCATACCCATGGTTAGAGCAGGCTGTGATTTCCTGCTAAAATACACTTTTCTGTGCCTCAGCCTATTATTGGATGTCCCTGGATGGGATTTGGGGTCTGACTGCTTTTACAGTTGGGCAGAGGTTTTTGAGTCTTCATTTCTTCAGGGTTCTGTCTGCTTTGACAGGCTCTGTAGTGGTGCTGTTGGTAAGAACAAAGGAGCTTTTGCAATCCTTGGGGATGATCAGAATTCCTGCCAGTGCTGTTAACACTTCACAGTCAATGCTTCGTTTTAACTCCCTCGTTCCTGTCACTTCAGGTCAGAGGTCCAGCTTGAAGTACTGGTATGAGAAGGAGTGGCTAAGCAATGGTCACATGCATGGCTTAGCATTTCTGGAAGAAAATTATTCCCACCAGAATGCCAAGAAGATCGTGGCCACTCACCAGCTGCTGGGGGACGTGCAGAGGGTGATCGAGGTGCTGCACGGGCTGCAGCTGAAGATGAGCATCTTGCAGTAAGCACATCTCAGGGCCAGCTGCCACCCTCTCAGGGGGAGTGGCACTGCAAGGGGAAAAATAACCCCAAATTCAGGCTTACCTTTGTGCTGCTTTGTGGATTTATAACACAGTTTGAATTGCTGATGGGATCGTCGCTCTTAAAGCTGTTGAAGTGTGTTGTGTAAATTGACCGTGTGTATAAAGAGGTTGGGAAAGGGAGAGGAAAGAGGGGGAAAAACTAATAACAGCAGCTTCTCCTGAAGCACCTAAATAGATAAAGTAAGAAGAGGAGGATAGGTGTATAACCTGTGGCAGCATTCTTACAGCACTTGCCTTCTCCATTCCAGTAAATCCAATCATAGCCTCTCCATCAGGAATCAGATGTTTTTATTGGGTGTGGTGTGTTGCTCTGCTGCAGTGGGAGAGCAGATGCACCTTCAGCAACCTGCAGCAGTTCATTTCTGTGCAAAGGTCATACACTATTTATGAAGAAAATAATGTAATAATTTATAAAAATTTTGATTTTCTTTATATAAAATTAAGTTTTCTGCATCTTTTCCTGTTCAAAGTCATCCTTAGGTTGCGATGACTGAAAAAAAAATTTCCTAACTCGAATCCAGCAGTTTTGAATTGATGGAATTCCATTGTTATAATTTCTTAGCTGATAAATTGCGCAGCAGCAGCTATTTGGAAAGCAAAGCTTTCAGTGCTTTCAGGGTTCTTTAGACCTTTTCCTCTTATCTGTGGTGATGCAGGATGGGAAATGTTCAAACAATGAAATGTAATGCTTGAAGCAAGAGAGTAGCAATTTTCACATAAGGTTTTGCTTTTCCATGATGAGATCCTGCAGTCAGGTCTGTAAGTAATCTCTTCCCTCCTTGGAGACTGGAACATAAATATAAGGCCACTCCTTGTGCCTTTTGTTAAAGAGGGAGAGTTCAGATTCTGATTTTCCAGCTGTGAACTGAGGTCTGTGCAGTGCTGAGATGTGGAGCACTGGGCAGGTCTGTGATGCTCGTGGCAGGTGTTGTTCCTGTTCTCTCCGTGCTGAGGGCAGTGTGATGGCCTGGGTTAGTTAAAGGTGAGGGGCAGTCCTCAATGGTATGTTGATGGACCATTCCTTGCTAAAAATATCCCAGTTAAAATTGATTTCTGCGTTGATAAAAAGCAGAATGTTCCATCCAGGGCAGCGTTGGTGAGAAGGTGTATGTGTCTATTTGCAACTCATTTTTCAGTTTTTTTTCTTAATGCCAACATTTGGCCTGTGTACCACATTATAGAAATGAAAATGATGAGCCTAACAGAACATTGTAGGAACAGTTGAGGTCAGTGCAACTGTTATTCCAGAGTACTTGGGCACTTTTAGTGATTATGATGACTCAGCATGTAGTGGTTCAAAGATTCTTACTTGATGTAATAGGGATAGTTTGCTCAGTCACTTGACGTTTTTTATGTTTGAACAGAAACAAAGAACATCCTGACCTGAAGCTTTGGTGTCACCCGTGGAAGCACATCACAGTGGATGAGAAAATCCACACCAAACACATCATTCACTTCGAGGACAACTGTTGCAAAGAGGAGACGGCGAGTTACAGAACTTGGAACGGGACGGTTGAGAAGCCCTCAGCCATCCCCTCCGTGGAGGAATCTTACATCACCAGTGAACACTGTTACCAGAAACCTCGGGCCTACTACCCTGCCATAGAGCAGAGGCTGGTGGTGGAAACAAGAGGCTCAGCCATGGATGATGGAGTAAATAGAATAAGGGAGAACGGAGATGATGCCCTGTCCGAGAGATTTGGCTGGAATCTGGACCAAGAAATATGCAAGGTGGAAAATGAATCCAAACACAATTACTCTAAGGTATTTGTACTAAAATAGACCTCTTTGCAAAGAGCATGCCTGTCAAAGTGCAAACCTCTACCTTTTTTAATAGTATTTGGTTTGTATTAAGTTTTGTCTTGTGCTGTTGAAGTTAAGTTACCAGTCAGAGATGAAATGATAGATGCGATCAGCTCCTTCATTTCATATTATAATTAAAAAAACTAGGTTAACTTCTTTACCTCAAGTCACTTGAAAGGTATGGACCATGCATTATGGTCCACTAACAGCTCATTGCTGCTTACTTTTGTGTGTTAATTATAAAAATAAACACTAGAGTGCTTCTGTTAGTGGCAGTTCATGTGAAATGTGGGCTGAGGAATGTTAGAAACCCTCTGGGAAATGGATGGACCCCCCTCTGCTCCGGAGCCAGGCTGGGACAGCTGGGGGGGTTCCCCTGGAGAAGAGAAGGCTCCAGGGAGACCTGAGAGCCCCTTGCAGGGCCTAAAGGGGCTCCAGGAGAGCTGGAGAGGGACTGGGGACAAGGGATGGAGGGACAGGACAAGGGAAAGTGGCTTCAGCCTACCAGAGGGCAGGGTTAGATGGGATACTGGGAAGGAATTGTTCCCTGTGAGGGTGGGCAGGCCCTGGCACAGGTTGCCCAGAGAAGCTGTGGCTGCCCCATCCCTGGAAGTGTCCAAGGTTAGGTTGGATGGGGCTGGAGCAACCTGGGCTGGTGGAAGGTGTCCCTGCAGAGGGTTGGACTGGATGACCTTTAAAGGCCTCTTCCAACCCAAACTATTGTACATTCTTATGATTCTATCAAATACTGAGCTCCCTTTCTTAGGTTAAAGGAGTGGTGAACTTTTATTTTGTGCATATGTAAGCTGTAATTCGTTATTTTTGACTTCTCTACCAATCAAGATTGTGTTATGTTTGCCAGAAAAGAAAATATTTTACTTCTTCAGTCTAAAAGAACCTTTTTCTACATCCTGTCCTAATTTAGCAGAAGGATGAAAGAAGTGGAGAAGTAGAATCAACACTGCTGACACTGTAGTCAGCTTCTGTAAAGGGTGGAAATACTTGTCTTGAGATGCTTCAGTGAAAGTTTTAGTAGAACTGAGATGAGATTCCTTAAGGAAAAATCCCTTCTCACCGCAGAATTGTTTGCTCTTCAACTGATTCCTGGCAGGTGAAAAACGGCCTCAGCATTCCCTGGAATGCACAGGTTCAGTGCAGAGTATTCCAGTTGGAAGGTGGCAGGGCCATAACCACACGTGTGTGTTACCTTCAGCTGCTCGTGAAGTGCAGAGAACAGTTCTTACAACATACCTGTACAAGTATTTAGTCTCTATTTGCATCCTCTTGCCCAAAGCAGTTTATATCAATGTCTGCTCTGTGTCTCTCCCCTGCTGGCCTGAGCTGAGCTGAGCTCCAGGCAGGTTGGCTCCCCAGTTGTGTTCCCTGTCCCAAATCCTCTCGTGTGCATCTCTGCTAGGGGAGAGAGGCCGTGGCCAAGAAGAGCTCTGCAGAGGAAGCAATGGAAATGAAGCTGATGGAGAAAGGCAAAGAAGGAGTGGTGAACTCGCAGCTGCAGTGGCAGCTCAATCTTTTAGCCCACGTGGAATCTCTGCAAGATGAAGTCATCCACAGAATGGATTTCATTGAGAAGGAGCTAGATGGTAAGCAGTAGTTAAAAGAATATTTAACTGAACTACCTGTTCAAAACATGTTAACCAGAATTTTACTTCTGCAGACCTGCAGAGAGATGAGTGTTTCTTTAGCACATAGGAAATAGATACACTGCTGATGTGGGGGGTGGAATTTCAAGCAAAGAGCAGAATTTCACAGAACAGGTTCTAGTTAGGTCATCTCCAAATAGCTGCATCAGATCTGTCTTTTTGCTTTCAGAGTTTTGTCGTTTTCCAAACCTCTTCTGTGTATCTGCACTTCCCTGTTCCTCAGGGCCTTGCTGGCTGTGTCAGCCCATTCTGGGTGGCTTCTTGGGGGCACAAGGCTCCTACCCTTTCCTGTCTCTTCCAAATTCTTCACTTAAAGGTCTTTGGAGATTTGTTTTCCTAGCAGTGGAAGACTTCTGAACCCTTTGTGTTGCATTCAACGATCGAGGGTAGTTCCTTCTCTTTACATTGTTGACTCATGGGTGGTTGTGTAGTGGTTACAACAGCAGCTTTTCTTCCAGGGGAGTTGGGAATACAATCTTTGCCCAAGTAAGAGCCCTCTCTTTGTAAGTAAGGTGCTGAAAAGCTGAACAGCTGAAGGGATATTTGAGGTAGTGAAGATCAGTCAGGCCTGTAATCAGTGCCTGTTTCATAAATGAAGCAGATCTGGTTCCCAAAAGTTGGACTTTTTGTATGTGCTGCTGAGCAGGGGGCTGTGCAAGGCATCTCTGCTCTGAGAGGCGTCTCCTCACTGCAGGGCTGGCTGATGCCCCCCAGTTCTTCAGCAGGTGCTGCCCCTGGGCTGAACTCACCCTTCATCTGGGCAGTGGTGGTGGCTGCTCTTGCAGAGCTGTTTTTTCAGTCTTCAGGGTTTGTCTCATCTGTGATACAACATCCCATGAACTCATCACTGTCCAACCTGACCACCCTCCTTGTTGACCAGTTACATTGTCACCTGAGTTGTCTCCTGCTCAATGGGATTTCTGCTCCTTGTTTCCCACTGAGAAGCTTTAGAGCAAGAGTTCATTTTCCTTGTGCAGCAATTTGCTATTTATGCTTTTGGACTTACCCCCTGTTTGTGTTACCCACTTCTGTCTGTCTTGGCCAGTTGTGTTCTGTGCTGATAAGATTTCTTTATCATTACCACAATCCCATCCTTTCAGGATCTTCAGTGGCATCTAATGCTGATCCTAAAGGTCCTCTGATGTTATAAACTGTCTGTACTTGAGTGTCCTTGCTCTGGAGTTGACACAGATCAGAGGACGTTTAGCACCAGATTTCAGAATCTCTGGTCCTGAGTTTTCCTTTCCTGCTTTCTCCTCAGAGCATCAGCTTCCCCCCCATCCCCTTGTGAATTATTTTGTCATCTCTCAAAAGTCAGTTGGTTTGAGGGGCCTGTTTTTCTGATATCTCAAATAACCAAATGTGAAAAACCTTGCTGCCCACTGCTTTCTTGAGATTCACGAAAGATTAAAGAATTCCTGTTTTGTGACTTCAGATGAGCTGTTTGCTGAGAGCTGCAGTAGTGACAGTTGTGTTTCCTTTGCAGTTCTGGAGAGCTGGCTGGATTACACAGGAGAGCTGGAACCCCCCGAACCCCTGGCTCGACTGCCCCAGCTCAAACACTGCATAAAGCAGCTGATCACGGACCTGGGCAAGGTGCAGCAGATCGCCCTGTGCTGCTCCACGTGAGGCTGGCGGGGGCACTGCCACGGGCACCACGCTGGGCAGCTCCGCAGCTCTGCAGCGCGTCGGCCTGGGGGTGCAGGTTGACTTCAGGGACTCGTGAAGAAGTGTTGCTCAAAGAACAGCAGAAAGGTTATTTGGGGTTTATTGGGCAATCACAGCGCTTGGGAAGAGGCCGTGCCCTCGTCTCCGGAGGTTGGATGGCGGTTGATAAATTACACTTCAATTTTCACTCCTTAAAAAGTTGCTCACTGAAACGGTCGACACCTTCATCGTTCAACTGACTGAAAATTGTGCCACTGAAGAACAGAGTTCCAAGAGCCAAAAATGTTTGGTTGACAGAGGTTGTAAATAACTTTGCATAGTTTAAGTGACTCGTGTCATGTTTTATTCCTTCTGGTTTATGCATACTAGCACTCAGTATTTAATCATTAGGAAATGTTATAACAGTTTCAGACTTAGTAAGTATGAATGTCCAGCTCTTAACTATAAAGTGTTACGTGGAGGTTTGCAAGTAACGGTGGTCTGACCCCCACTTCTGTTACAGGAAATAATGTAGCAGGAGGTCGCAGGTGGATTGCACTTATTTTCAGAATAAATGATTGTTTTCCATGTTGATCCTGCCACTGTCCCATGACTTGGTACTGGGGGAGCCCACGCACGTGGTGTTTCTGTGCATTCTCGAGCTCTTCGGTCGGGCCATCCTGTGCCTCCTGCAGCAGCACGGAATGTGCTGGGAGAGGCTGGAGCCACGCTCCCAGTTCCCTCTGCAGCGTGGGCTGTCATGGATGTGATGTATTTTCTACCCATTTGTTAATAATTGCCATTCCACTTATATTTGGAAATGTAGACTTTTTGCAATACTCTGGACGTGTTTGTTGTAAAGACTCGCTCTGAATGTGTGGTTTGGGGAATCAGTTTATTTTATATTGGTGTAAATAAAGCCTCAAGATCTATGCATGAGGTGCTGTCCTCGCAGACAGCGAGTGGGTTATTACCTTAGATGGTCTGTGTTCACCAAGTCCCTTTTTATACCTGAAGTTTTCATTTTCTGGTCTGTACTTTGTGAGAGCAAGGTGATGATGCTGCTGATGTTCAGTCATGTTGTATGCAGAGTCTTTGGAGAGTCGTGAGTATTTAAGAAGTTCAGAGTCTTTCAGCTGCAAATCACCGCTCTGGAAAGAACGGCTGTGACTTTAGTTTGCCTTCCCAGACGTTGCTGAGTTCAGTTTCCTGTGGAACATAGTAAACTGGTTTTGCAGTGAGAGGGTGTCCTTAAAAAGCTGGATTTGTTACCTTGATTTTATTGTGTGCAATGGTACTACCGAAGGGTAACGTTCAAGCACAGTTTTAATGGAAAGGCCCATACCTGTACAAATCATTAATTCGGGATATAGATCTGTAATGTGTGTATTCTGCAAAGAATAATGTAAACTTGAAATATCCAATATTGTTGTAGGAGTTACGGTATCTACACAGTTAATGTTTTATTTCCTTCAGAAAACAAAATAATTAGGCTGCTCTAGGTAGTAACTAAGGCTTTTGTGCCAAGATTCAGTTCAGGGAATAATTTGTCTCAGTTTTATAGTACTAGTTGGTATATAGTGAATACAACATATGTACAGCAGAAAAATAAACTTACTCTTCTGTAGCACAGTTGGAATAAAGTTTATCTTACATGGTATTTAAGGATCACTTGGCTCTCTGAGGATGAGACCAGTGCTTACACCTTGGCTCGTTCCTGTCAGGCCTCCCGAGTTCAGTGCAGCTCTAGAGCAGCGTCTGAGCAGCCCCCCAGCCAGGAGGGAAGGGCTGAGGTGGGTCTGAGGTGGGGTGGAGCAGAGGGGGTGCCCCCTGGGTGCCCCCTGGGTGCCAGCTGTGATCAGCACTCCCGCCACGCGTCCCTTGCAGGCCGTGGCTCAGCTGTGCTCCCCGGGCCTGGCAGGCCTCGTGCTCCAGAGGGGAACTTCTCAAGCAATGGCTTCTGTGTGCTCACTGTTTGTTTTTACTTGTCAGTTAATTTTTGCTCAGGGCAGTACTGGAGGGTTGGAGGAAAAGGTGGTTCCCATGGGTAGATCACGTGGCAGATCCTGAAGACTCGTTTCCCGTCAGTAGTGCTGGGGAAGCCCTTACAGGTAAAGACTGAAAATATTTATTTAAAATAGAGTAGCACTTCTCCTGATCAGGAAAGATTCTTCATTGTGCTCTGCCTGGATTCGTTTCTGTCCCTGTTTTTGCAAGTTTCCACATTGTTATTCTTAGCCTGAACCAACTGTTCGGGCTGGCAGGTCACTTTTTTGTTTCTTTAAATCACTGGTAAGTGGATGCAACGTGGAGCCTTGATGAACTGAGCAAACATTGCACTGTGGGTACATATGCGTGTTTGTCTTTGTTGATGCACTATTAGAACCGAGGGGCTGTACATAGAATTTTGCTTTGGAGCAATATTTGCAAAACTTGAAAACTTCTGTATCTTGGTGTTTGGAATAAATAAATAGGTTTTTGTTGGATAAGTCTTAGTGAAGTCTTTGTTTCAATTAATGATGGCTCAATAAAATAACTTTGGACTTTTTTGCTTCACGTCACATTGAAATGCAGGTGGTGTCGTTTGTCAGGTTATGTATTGGGTTTTGTTCAGTGTTGTTTGATGAGGAGCTTGTACATTTTATTCCCAAATCCTAATGTATGTAATGGATTAGTACCTGGTGCGTGTGATCTGCCCCTCGTCCTGGTCCCATCGGGATGAGCAGCCTGGCGGGGCAGAGACAGCGCAGGACTGCTGATGGGCTGGAGGAAGGAGCTCGATGCATTTGAACAATCCACACAGAGAAAACACGGCATGAGAAGGGGAGGAAGGTGGTGAGTGCTGGAGGAGCAGGCGAACCTGGCACAGGGTGCCTGAGGGCAGGGAGGGTTCCTTCAGGGGCATTTCTGGTTCCATCTCTTCCCCTCTGTTTCCCCAGCAGGAGGACAAGTGGTTTTAACAAACTTTCCTTTCTAATTTCTTTCTCAAAAAAAAAAAAAAGCCACCATTCTTGTAGAACTGGATTTTAATGCTGGAGGGCACATCCCTGCTGGAGCCTGGTTTGTGAGCCACTGATGGCAGACCCTGGCGTCTCATGGCTCGTGCAGGTCTTTGCTGATCACTTACGTGTCAAAGTTGGGGTTTGAGGTTGTGGTCTGAATTTGGCATAACTCAGTGGTGTGTGTGCCATGGCTCGCCATGTTTTGGGGAAAGTGTGCCTGGGATTGATTTCCCTGCCCGGTGCGAAGGCTCCTGCAGATGCCTCTCCCAGCAGGAGGAGCTGCTCAGTCAGCTGTCCCCTGCCTGTGGGTGCAGTCACCTCGAGGCTGCTCACACCGCCCTCTTCCTGCTGTCCCTGTTAGGCAGGGCAGGGTCTGTGCCTGCAGGGTTGGGTCAGTGTGCAGCCCCTGCCTGGTGCTGCTGCTGTGCTGGCAGAGCAGCATCTCCACTGGCCCTGGTGCCGTGCAGTGCCCGTGCCTGGCTCTGCCGCTGCTTCCTGGTGTTCCTGAGCACTGCAGGGGTTCAGCAAAGTGTTTCATATCTTTGTGCTCAGTCCTTCAGCGTGCACAGCAGCTCTTGTGAGGTGGAGGAACTCGGTACAGCTCTTGGTCTGGGCAAAACCTGCCGCAGGTACCCAGAACAGGGTCCTGTTCGAGCAGGCACGGGGACAGGACACACCAATTTTTTTCCTGGTAGAACACAGCTGCAGACAGAAAAACTGAGGACAACCCAGCCAAACTGGGATTCATCCTGTCCTGCTGCAGCTGTTGCTGCTGGTGGTACTCTGTGCTGTCTGGGTGTTTGGACAGGAGGGGCTGATGGGGCCATGGATCCTTGGAATGCTCCGTGCCTGGGGCCCTGTTTCCAATCGGGGGTGGGGGGAATGTGGGCTGCACTGGGCTCAGGAGCAGGAGCTGTGTGTACCTCCTGGACTTCCAGACTGGTGGCTTGGAGTCCTAGAGCTTGAGTACAGATGTGGGCAAAGGACCTGCTCCTGAAGGGGTGATTTCTGTGCCCTTTTGTGTCTGTTGGGGTGAGGGCTGGATGCTGCCCTGGGTCTGGGCTGCAGGCACAGCTATGCCCTTTGCACAGAGGCTCAGAGCTGATGGAGACACTGCCTGCTTTGCAGCCCCTTAATCCCTTCAGAAGTCCCAGCAAATGCTCCGGGGAAAGATGCTGAGAGGTTGATTTGAGGGGGGTGAGGGGCAGAGCACAGTCTTGTCCGGCTGGGTCGCACATCTGGGTATCAGTAGGTACTTGTCACTTCAGAGGGGGCTCTGGGGGAGGTTGTGCTGCCCACAGTGTGGCTCATGAGGCCAAAGTGACCGCAGCTCACAGTCCCCTCGTGCCCCAAGATACTGGGGAGAAGCTGGGAAGCTCCTCTCTCCCTGTGAGGGTCCTGAGCACTCAGAACACCTCTGGGCAGGACTTGGCCCTGGGGCAGCTGTGGCTCCTCCCCTGCCCTGGCGCTGGTGGGTCTGGTCAGGGCTTGTTGAGTCCCTGCAGAGCCCTCGGTGTCCCTGTCCTGTCCCCATGGCCCCCCCTCCTGCTCTGCCCTCCCTGGCTGGGCGAGCGCTGCTGTTCCTGGCAGCTGCTGGACCCTCCCTGTGCTTCTGGCACCTGTCGGAACCTGCCTTGTGCCCAGGGGGTTCAAAGGCTGCTGCGTTCAGCCCTGGGAGGCAGGGACTGGGGCTGGGCCACTTCCCGGCACGAGTGGCACATGCCCAGAACCAGGAGCTCTCAGGACAGGGAAGGTGGAGGTCTCAGAGGCTGCTGGTGGTGGGGCAGGATTTGAACAGCCTTTCCAGCCACATCTGTCCCATAGCCCCTGACTCCAGGTTAAAAAGAACAAGAACAGCAGCCTCTCAGTTGTGGCAGTAGAACCATCCACGGGTGTAAATGCATCCAACAGCCTGGGTGCGTGGTGGGGGAAGGAGACCAAGGCCCACTCAGTTCACACAGCATGGATCAATGGCAAAAGTAAAGGATGCAAAAACTCTGAGTTGCCTCAGGGGCCCCACGGGTGACAGCAGGGGCGAGGCCAAGGCTGAGGGACAAACCCAGCTTCTGTGCTGTGCTGAAGCCACCTGGGCTGAAGGTGGGGGCTGAGCTGGGCTGTAAAGCTCAAGGCAGAGAAGGAAATGAGAAAGTGAGGGTGGGTTGCAAGAGTGAGCTCATCAGACAGGAACAGGAGGAGGGGGGTCCTGCTGCACTGGCCGTGGGTGCAGAGGGGAAGGAAGAGCGAGGGGGGTGGCTGAGCAGTGAACCCTGTGGCCACAGAGGAACTCCTGCTTTGCTGATAAGGGCCTGGTGAAAGCAGAGGCTCAGTGTGGCTGCTCTGAGGTGTTTCTGCTGCTGCCCAGGCCCCTCAGCCCGTGGGGCAGCTGAGGTCAGGGTAGTACACGAGAGTTTGCATTCTGCTCTTCTGAATAATCTACTCCTGGCACAGACCTATTTCTTCTTTTCATTCCTAGAACAGCAGTTGTGGCATTAAATTACACTTCTCAACCTCTTCGATTCGTGAATTTGCCCAAAGAGAGGGCCAGCCCTGACCTGTGGCTGCTCACCCCGGCTGGGGGCAGGGGCAAAGGCCCCAGGCTGTGGTGGTAAAACCACCCCAGGGGCAGATCACAAAGTGTTCACCAACTCTCAGCTGTGAAGGAGATGCCTTTTAATTGAGACACTGCAGATGGTTATTGCTACATGTCCAGCAGGATCCTGTTTTATGGAACTTAAAATCCATCTGTTAAAAGGTTTAAAAATCATCTGCTTTGAGCACAGTCAGAGGCTGCTGGTCCCAGCAAGCAGATCACTGAGTTATGGGGGGTGAGAGCATGAGGGTCTGTGGCTGCTGCTCACAGGCCTTTCCTGCACAGGCACCCACACCCAAAAAACGTTTGAGCGTGAACTTGAGGGGTCTGATGGGGTTGGGCTGTTCCTCCGCCTGGGCCAGGATTCAGCTTGTTGGGCATTTACATCCTCTCTGCTGCAGATCCCGGGAGGATCCTGTGGGGCAGGCAGGGCTCCTTCTCTGTGCAGCCCCTGCCTCCTCCTCCTCCTCTCATGGGCTCTGAGTGCCCAACCATCCCATCCCAAAGTGCCCAGCCGGGGGCAGGGTGGGCCCCCAGGCAGCCCCTTCCTCCAGTGCTGGTGCCTGGCCCCACCTTGGTCATGGCTGGCCGGGGCTGCTGATTGGGGCTGAAAGCTGGAGGATGGGTGTCCAGCACAAGCCAGCTGGGGCCTGTCCTCAGCTCTTCTTTGCCCCTTTCCCTGGGGGGTCTGGCTCAGGCTTGTCACTCTCCGAGAGGAGCAGGTACGAGCTGATGGCTTCCCGCAGGCCCAGGCTGAAGGGAGAGTCCTCCTGGGGGGACGCATTCTCGGAGAGCAGGAGGGAGCTGCTCCGGGCAGAGGGGGCGGTCAGCAGGCAGCCCCCAGAGCTCCCGGGGCTGGCAGGGCTGTGGGGAGCCCCAGCTCCTGCCCTGCGTGTCCTCACCTGTCGATCTTGTCCCAGTGCAGCGATGGCTTCTTGACAAGGGGCGGTGTTGGAGCCGAGGCCGCCCTCATCCCGTCCGTGGAGCAGGGCTGGCTGAGGAGGCAGCACAGCCCCTCGCTGAACTCTGGGCACGGAGCCAACAGCATCAGCATCAGCAGCCCCCAATCCCGGGGGCTCCTGAGCTGGGGGAGGGGTGGGACCCGCTGCCACCTTTTCCCTCTCGCCCTTCAGGGCCCGGGGCATCCCCCACACACAGCTCAGGGTGCGGGGGGCTGCTGGGGCGTTACCAGAGTAGTGATCCACCAAGCTGTGCAGGCTGGGGAAGGTGAGCCCAGGGGAGATGTATATCCAGCCGTTCTCCAGCCGGTGGATGCGGTAGTGAGTCACCGAGGCGCAGGCAGCGCGTTCCCCGCGGCGCAGCGACAGAGAATAACAACCTGCGGGCCAAGGACTCGCGGCTGGGCTGCCCGGGGCACCCACCCCTCCCAGCCCTGCCCCGCGCCCTCATACCCTGCGGGGGCTCTGCCGTCACACAAGTGGTGCCACCCTTCCCCTCATGGAGCTCTGCAGCCCCGTGCCAGCCCCGTGCCATGAGGACCTCCAAACCAACCCGGGGGAGGGGGGAGGGCTGGGACATCAGATGTCCTTGGTGCCTCAGCCATCTGCACCCGCAGGATCTCCCCACAGGGTCCCCTCAGGTGTGGTGGGGCCCTGTTTCATTTTGTGGGCCGAGCTTTATCACTTCCCTGCGTAACCCAAAGCTGTAGGAAGCTGATGGTGGTTTGTTCTTTTGAGGCCCCGTGGCAGGGGCTCAGCACAGAGCGGGAGAGCAGCAAGAGCGAGGAGCGGCCCCGCGGGGAGGGCTATTGCCAGCGGGTGTGAGCAAGGGTTGCCTCCCCCCCTGCTCCTTGGCAGCCCACGGGGAAGGCCCGGGAGGGTACAGGAGCCGGGCCCGAGGGCTCTCACCTCGCCTGGTCTGGCTCTCCCGGATCAGGAAGGACCCGCTGTGGTTGCCCGGACGGAGCAGCAGCTCCTCCGCCTTCTGCCGACTGACGCCCTCGTACAGCCACCTGTGCGGGCAGGGGCGCTGGCAGAGCCTCCCCCGCGGCCACGGACACGCAGGGCCCGGCGGGACCCCCAGGGCTCAGCCCACCCCACCGGGGCAGGGGGACAGCTCGGGGCGCGGCAGGACATGTCCCGGGGACACTGCAGCAAGCCGGGCCACCTCCCCCAGCCACAGCCCTGCTCCACGGCCCAGGGGCAGACACGGGGCAGGAGGGCCTGGCGAGGTGGCCGGGGTTCGGCCTTGGCTCTGCGATGGGGCCGTGTCCCCTGGACCCTCCCTGGGACAGACCCTTCCCAGCATTTACCCGTGCCTGATCTTGGCCACGCAGCTACTGGGGACGTGGCACTCCTTGCCAGACACCTCGGACACCACCAGCCACCACTCCCCGCCCCTGCGGGGGAGAGGGATGACCCGCCTGTGGGCTGAGGCTGCAGGGTGCGGGGAGACCCGCAGGGTGGATGCCACCAGCGTGGCCCCACGGGCTGGACTCTGATCAGTTGTCACTTGGTGCGGGGACTTACTCGGAGAGGATGCGGAGCTGCTCCCCCATCCTCAGGACAGCGGCCACCCCCGCACCGGAGGGGAAGTCACAGAGGGCCAGGGCCTGGAAAGCGCTGGGGGCTGCAGGGACGGTGAGAGGGCTCAGTTTCCCCGGCAGCGCCAGCCCCGACTGGGGCGGGAGGACCCGGCACGAGGTGGAGGTTTTCCCAGCAGCTGCTGGGCACTCACCTGCCTGAGCCGGCAGCGGGGGCTGCGTGGTGTCAACAGATGCCGATGGGATGCTGAGCGGCTTCTCCCGACCAGGCAGATTCCCCATCCCTGGAGTTCAGCCCCTGGGCTGCTCCGTCCGGGAGGGATGGAGGGGCTCAGGCTCATGGCTCAGCATCCCCCGCCCTGTGTCCTGGGCAGGGCATTTCCACGGGGTGACACCAGCACGTCCAGGGCAGGGCTTTGGGCAGGCAGCTCCCAGGGGAGCCCTTCGAGGAAACCACCCTCCCACCGCCACCACAGATGGGGTGGGATGTCTGGGGACTGCCAGGACGGGGTATCTGCAGCCTCATGGAGGACAGTCCCCGGCCAGGCTCACTCTCTGCATGCTGCCATCCCACCCCAGCCCCCTGTCCCCCAGGGGCAGGGGCACCTATCCCAACGCCCCAAGCTGCTGGTCCCCATGGGGATTCAGGGAAAACACCCCTTCCAGTTCCTTGACCACGGAGAGGTGCGGTTGGAGCTGTGTGTGACCCAGATCCACCCCAGGCTGAGCTCCCCTCCTTCCCTGCCCTGACTCTGTTCCTGCCCTAGCAAGAGGTGAACTCCACCTACCTGCCTTCCACTGCTGTTGCCATTATTTGGGTGCCGTCAGACCCGAGCAGCTCTGCCCTCCCTGCATGGTGGAGCCTCGGGACACCAGGGGACCCTCTGGCACAGTGGGCAGCCCTTGGTTCCCCCTCAGCCCGCTCCAGGGCTGGCTGTGGGGTCCCAGCTGGGGTTGCTCCCGGCGGTGCTGCCCTGAGCGCTGTGAGGTGCTGGGGCTGCGGTTGCTGCTTCCTGTGACGTGCACGCACTAGAGCGGGTTTCTCCTTTTCACTCAGTCACAGGTCGCTCATCTGAGCTCCTTGGGGCCCTCGGTATGGGCACCGGGCCCAGGAAAATCCCTGTGGGCATTCAAGGCACTGGGCATTGCATGGGATTTGTGGGTGAGCAAGGTGGAGGGATAGGCAGCACATGAGAGCGGCAGCAGAGCTGACACCAGGAATTGTAGGCTGAGGCTGGACGTGCTCCACTCCCAGGGTGGTCTTAGTGAAGGGGGGATGTCCCAGGGTGCCTCCTCACTTGCAGCAGCACCAGGGCCACGTGCTGCCCTCAGTGGGAGGGTGGTGCTGGATGTGCTGGGTGGGTGGGGTGGTTGGGATGTTCATGGGCACCCCGACCTAACCTAACCCTAACCCTTGCCAGACAGCACTGTCCCAGAGCCAGCACTGCCCTACAACCAGCACTGCCCACTGTGCCCACCCCAGGCTGGGTTATGGGTGGGACCCATCCCCACTCTCAGCCCATCCAGGCCCAGCAGCTGCTGCTGATGTGGGACCATTCACTGCCCGATTCATTGCCCAGACTGTGTGTGGACCATTCACCTTTCAAGGCACACACTGCGTGGCTCAGCCAGCACCACCTTGGCTGCCCCCAGGCCTGACCACCCCTCCCAGCTTCCCTCCTGCTCCCCCTCAATGTCAGGACCCTCTGATGCACACGAACATCCACCCCCACAGTCCTGCCCTGAGGAAGGTCCTTGGGATTTGTTGTCAGCAGCTCCTGAGCTCACAGCCCAGCTGTGCAGTGTGGACAGTGTGTCCCCCCCATTTCCTGCTGTGTCCCCACTGTGGGAACAGATACTCAGCAGCCTCCTGCCACAGCTGCACCTCCTGCTGCTGCTTCTGTTGAAACTTCAGAGTTTCTGGTCAGCTACAACTGCCTTGACAGTGTGAAATGCACTTGGGTTCAACAGGGCTTCTGGCCCCTGTGCTGCTGTTGGGGTTCAGGACCCCCCCCAGGCCTGCCCTGAGCTCGGGCAGGGCTGTTTTGCGGGGGGTTGATTATGTTTGGGAGAAGATTCCATCACTCTTGGACTGGTGGTCCAAGCAGCACCACTGGGGTCCTCTGGGATGTGGGGGACAACCCTCGGTGTGCCATGACCTGCTCCCCCCCACCTCCAAACCCTGCTCTGGGCCCAGGGCTGGAAAATAAAATGGGGCCCCAAGTTCCCATCCCCAGCCTGAAGTGGAAAAAGTGGCTTTCTGGTAGCACACGGATTTCTGGGTCAGCACAGCCCCCCCAGCACCTGAGGCCCTGCAGCCTCAAGGCAGAAACCTCAACATGTGGCTGCAAGTCACACTTTTCCATCAGTGACCCAGAGCTAAGCTCAGCCAGACCTCACCCTGCGCTGCTGGAGGAGACACCAATACAGAAATTTGACATCTCGGACTGGACACGCCACTGCATGAACTTGCCCCAAGGTTTTAAGCAATTGGGAATTCAGTCCTAAGGGAATGGGAGCATGGGAAAGTGCTGGCTCCCTCTGCCTGCCCTTCCCTGGCTGAGCTCCCTCCACTGGGGCATCCCAGCTCCCAACAGCAGAAAGAGGTCAGGGAAACACTCCACCATTTTACAGGGACTTACTCCAACCTCCCTGCTGCCCCTCAAGGGGTGGGAATGCACATCCATGCCCTGCAGCCAGTGGCATCCAGCTCACACCCCAGCAGCCAGGTGGGTTCAGGACCCCAGCCCAGGCAAGGCTGTCTTGAGCTCAAGCTCGTTGCCTGGATTTGGTGTTGTTCATGCTGCCCAAGAAACACTGCCCTTTACTAAACTTATTTCTCACCTTGTATTTTGCTTTGATTTTTTTTTGGTCTTTTTTGCAGGAGAAGCACTTGCTTATGTAAAACAAAGTTTACTTTTCCCAGTTATCCTTGGGTAATAAAATCTATGGTAACCATCACTACAGATCTTGCCTTGCTTCTTCCTGTGAGCCACCATGGCAACAGCTCTCCCTGCTAAACCACTCCTCTTCCAAATTGCTAAAATCTCACCTATGTATTAAGCTGGGCTCCTGGTGCAGGAGCAGCCTAGAGCTTGGTGCTCTCCTGCTCCACATCTTCAGGAACATCACTCACTGAGCTTGCACCTGTCCCTGTTGCAGGATCATTTCCTTTGACTCATTTCCCTGTCATTTAAACATTGTGTTTCCTTTCTTTTGGGCTGTATTTCCATACAGGAACTGGAGACAGGACAGTTCCTGGGTGCAGCCCGCTGGCATTAGATCCCAGTGCTGCTCCTCTCCTGCACGTGGTGCCTCATCCAGAGGTGCTGAACTCCTGCTGTGCTGGGGGCCGTGTCTCTTTGATGGTCTCCTGTCTCAGATTCAAATGTCTGTTTGTGCTCATCCCTTTGTACTGCCATTACTCCTTCACTGATCCAAGTGTCCAGCGTTTCCCATTTCTCAGCTGTCACTCAGTGTGCACTGCAGAAGAACACTTTGTCTCATTCCTGCAATGACCTCCCCCAAAGGTCTCAAGACCGTCCAGGCAGGATCAGGATCCCATCCCACAGCACGACAGCAAGACTGGGACTAACCCGTGCCCAGCACTGTAACCCTGCTCCAGCCCCATGCGTGGATGCAATCCATCTCCGTGGATTACACTGACACCTGACAGTGGGAGAAGCTGGGTCTGGAAAGCGGCGGGGGAGGAAAGAGCTGTGTTACACACCAGGCTGCTGCCCATCCCCTCCCTGTGCCTGGAGACGTGCCAACAGTCATCCCACTGCCACCCGAACTGCCCTCTGCAGTGGCAGTGGCCTTGTCACAGGTTTGAGGTTAACTCTGTCCCACTGGTGGAACGTGCAGAGAGCGCTGCCCCAGGGAGGGCAGGTGGCTCCGAGCTCTGCCTGCGGGGAGGTGGTTCTTGCCTGTGTAGCAGCAAACCTGCTGTTTTGTCTCCATTCTGGACGTTTCTAGGTGCCTTTTGCTAGAGGCCAGCTCTCTCCAGCACCCTTGGACAGCCTCTGCCAGGGGCCACAGAGCCACCAAACACACTGTCCTAGTGCAGAGGTGCCCCGTCCTGTCCCTGCCATGAGGAAGAGTTTGCCACTTCTGCAGGAGGCACCCAGACTGACAAACCCAGAGAGGAGCAGGTTGCCAAGAGAAACACGAGGAGCACACGGGGTAACAATGAAACTCAGTTAGTTATAGCTTTATTCAATAACTGGTACAAAGTTCCCTTCAGGCAGAGCCTCCCCGTCCCATTCCCTACCTGAAATGGAGCAGAACTGAGTGTGACCCTGGGAGGAGCTGGCTCCCAGAGGGTCAGGGCTGCTGAGCAGCGAGGAAAGGATGTTTTGCTCATCCATCAAGACTTGCAGCAGCCTGACCACTCATCCCTTTTCTCCCATTAACACCAGACCCTGGCATGCAGCAGGCATCTGCTGTCCACCCTCGGTGACCCGGCCAGGTATAAAAAGGTAGCAAAATTGTGAGTCCCACAAAGACTAACTAGTACCTGCTCACCCTTCTGACCTGACTCACAGGAATGTGTCAGTGCTGGTTGTCACATTCCTGCCCTCGGGTAACTGCACCCTGTGCAGACCCTGCCTGGGCAGCAGCAGTGGCAGGCAGAGCTGGCAGTGCAGGAGATTCCGGGATCTCCACCTGGCAAGAGGCCCTGCTTCCCATTTCACAACCTGCTCAAGGTAAAGATTCACCTGTGCCAGGGTAGAACAGTGACCACGTGTCACTGCATCCTGCCCTCCTGCCGGGTCAGCAGAGGGTTGTGGAGGTGGTCAGGGAGCCAGGGCTGCTGGAGTTTAATCCCTTGTACTTGGTTAATAGTGCACCTTGTTAGTGGAAGTTTACAGGTAAATTGCTTTGCTCTTTCAGGAGGCTCAAAGAAATCACTCTGCTCCTTCTTAACACACAGAGATGAGATCAAGACAGTATTCCTGACCATTTGTTTTTCTCATGGCTGCCTGGCACGTGGGAACACACAGACCTTCCAGTGGGCTCTGCGCCCCAGGCACAGCTCCACACAGAGCCCTGCCTGCTCCGACACCTGGCGTGCCACACCCTCGTGGTCTTGCTTTCCCACGTCCCACTGATGCCATACCAACTGCACCACAAGGGTCCTTTAGCAGAAGCACAACTAGAAAGCAATTCTAAACCTCACAAAGCCACAGAAATTATATTTAAATGAAGAGGGGAGACAACGGCTGTCATCTGGATTGATACACAGCACAGACAGGAGATGGCATCAGCGTGTACAGTAA